ACCAAAGGGGGCCCAGCTCTGGAAGCTGCGCGAAGGGATGCGGAGGAGGTGACACAGCTGGAATGCAGCCTCCCAGATCTGCCTCGCCTGACCTTCTGCACCCGAGCAGGCTTTCCAGAAGATCTCTGAGGCCGCTGGCCCAGAGGGAGAAGCCCCATAAGCACCAGGGACTTCGAGGCTTGACGAGGTCATTTCCCACCAGCCTGCATGATGCCTGGTCTCTCGTGGCCCACTGTTGTAGCAGTGGAATAAGAGCCCCGTTTTGTCTACCCTGGAAAATACCCCCATCCACTAGTGCACTGATGAGATGTCACTGTTGCATTTGGGACAAAATCCCAGCATCCTCAGGGCAGGCCTGGCTGAGGGCACCCCTGGTGGGAACAACGTCCTTTAGGACCATGAGGCCCTTTATGTTGTGGGGACAGGTGCGGATCTGAGGATCACAGCTGCTGGTTCCGCCGCCTGGGGTATGAGGTCCAGGGAGCGGTCCTCAGGGCCCTCTCAGCCAAGGGCAGAAAGCGGGAGGTGTGCGGCGGGCGTGATGCGCTGGTCCAGCTGAGGCGCCTCCACTCTGAGGAGAAAGCATATTTCAGCGAACCTGCTCACAGCCTCTGAGAGCTTCCCAGGCAATGTGGCCATCACTGTCCCCCTCCTGGCCCCTACCTGGCCCCTTTGGGAGGGGACCAGTGTACAGAAAAGGGGCCTCTTTCTCCCAGAGTCTCTCATTGCAGCCTCTAAGAGGGCAGGACTAGGTGCCATCAAGCCAAATTGTCTTGGAATCCTCAAAAATGGCCAACTGCGGGTTTCGTCTCCTCGCCCGGAGAGACAGGGCAGTACGGTCGCCATTCCTTTGAATGCCTCACGATGTGCCAAGTCCGGAGTCCTCCCAGCAGCCTGCTGAGCCTGGCACTTCGATTATCCCCATTTTCACACAGGCTGCAGAGCCGAAGTATCAGAGCCAGGCTCTAAACAGCGGGAGTCCAGCTCCAGAGGGTCCCCACTATGAACTGGCAACGAGGGGGCTTTAGCAGCTAATGATGGTCATGGACGCTCAAAGCCTGCAAAAGGAATTCTTTCTCTTGGTTCTAGTTTGGTGCCAATAGATGGTTTGTTAAATTGCTATTTTTGTAAAGACGTGTAGTCATCGGCACCTCTCCCAATTGCAGTTGCTGTGTAAGTCAACCTCAGAAACCCATGATCTAGAGTGAGGGCGAGGTCGAGCTCCCCAGGGCTTTTTCAAGGACGTACCCCCTGCCACTCGCCAGCCATGAGGATCTTTGGCCTATCATGGGATGTTAGATCTTCACGAAGAAATTCAAAATGTGTAGGATGTGGAATGAAAAGATTCAGAGAGGCCATGGTCCCCAAAGTGGTGTGGGGAAGTCATGGAAATACTCTGTATTATGGAGTGAATGTTTGTGTGCCCTGCTAAAATTTGTATGTTGAAATCCGAACCCCCCATGTGGCTGTATTTGGAGCTGGGGCCTCTGAGAAAGTAAGAAAGGTTAGATGAGGTCATAAAGGTGGGGCCTTGTCATAGGATTAGTGTCCCATAGGATTAGAGACACGGAGAGTCCCTCCTCTCTTTCTCTCCCCTCCCCACACTCATACACACACACACACACACACACACACACACACACACACACACACACACACACACACACACACACACAACGAAGGACGCGTGGACGGACACGAAGGAGAAGCACGCGTCAAGACCTAACGACGACG